ACCAAGCTGCTGAATGAATCCGTGTTCCTCCTTCCCTCTGAAAAGCCAACACCCAATGCCTACGGCACAGTGAGTAATCAACAGCTGGATGTTCTTTGGCTCCTTGCAAGTAACTTTTATGTTTATTAAGACTTGTCTGGTGGAGCTGGAGAAATGGCTCAACAGTTCAGAGCACTGGCTGTTCTTGCAGAGGACCCAAGTTCAATTCTCAGCACCCACATGACAGCTGGCAACTATCTGTAACTCCATCCAGTTGCAGGGGATCCCATGCCCTCTTCTGTCCTCCATGAGCACCACAAACACATGATACATATATACATGCAGGCAAAACAATCATACACACAAAATAAAAATAATATTTTTTAAAGAGTTGTGGAGCTGGAGAGATGGCTCACTGGTTAAGAGCACTGACCATTGTTGCAGAGAACCCAGGTTTGGCTTCCAACACCCACATGGTGGCTAACAACCATCTATAACTCCAGTTCTGGGAGATCCAATGCCCTTTTCTGGCCTCTGCAGAAACTGAATGCATGAGTGCACTTAACAGACATGCAGGCAAAACCCCCACACAAAGATAAGTAAATGTGTTTATTAAAAGTTGCCTGCAGCCAGGCAGGTAGCACACTTAATTCCAGAGGCTGAGGAAGAACAGGTGGCAAGTTCAAAACCATCTTGGCACATAGTGAAATGCTGTCTCAAAAAACAAGAATGGCAAATTGTTTCTCACATATTGCTTTTTATTTTGCCTGAACCCTCACTGAAGAATCAATGAACCTTTTTTTTTTCCCAAAATAAGGCAACCTTATGTTACTTACTGATTATATTCTTTACAGACTCCACAAAACAATTTCATCCCAAATTAGACTGTAGGGCACACACAATGGCTTATAATTCCAACACGCAGGAGACTGAGGCAGCAGGAGCTACAAAATGAGACCCTGTCTCAAAAACACCAAACACAAAAGTTAAGATGTAGTTGGTTGGAAGAGTACTGGTCCCTAGCACAGCATAAACCACAAATGGTCACACACACCTGTAACCCCAGAACTTGGGAAACAGTGGCAGGAGGCTCAGGAATTCAAAGCCATTCTTAGCTCTTCAATGAGTCTGAGGACAGGCTGGGCCACAGGAAACCCTATTGCAATCCACAATAACAAAGACATAATTACCTCCTCCACCCCTAGCCTCAGCCCTAGGAAACAAATCTAGGGGCTCAAGCATGCTATGGAAGTATTGTACCACTGAGCTACATTCCCAGACCCATGAAGACAGGTTTTTACTATTGCCTATAATGTAAATGATTAGAACACCTGTTCATAATTTAACTATTCTGTAAAGAGAGAGAGCAGACATGCCTTGTCTGCCTCAGTAGCACAGATCTAAACTGCATCTAAATCTAAAACCTCTTCTAAAGTTTTACAAAAACGTTCAGTTATTTATTCTGAATGAACATCATTTGGGGCATATAAGACAGTTATCTAGGAAGAAAAAAAAGCCAGGAGAGATTAGCTCTGAATCCAGCAATAAAATGTTGGCTAGATTTAAGCAGAGATACTGCCACGGGAATGGTAAGAGAGGCATGTAACTGCGGCTACAGTGGTGCATGCCTCTGACCCCAGCATTCCGGAGGCAGAGGCAGGCAGAGCTCTGAGTTGGCGGCCAGCCTGGTCCGTTCCAGGCCAGCCAGTGCTACATAGTGATACTCAAAAAGCACATTGCTACCCTAAAATTTAGAAAATTTAGAATTCCTGACAGATGATACTTCCCTGCAGATCATCAAGCGACGGCAGCCAACATGGCCACTTCATGCTATGCAGCACTGCTTAGCCCTATGCTCCAACAGTGTGAGCTCACTGAGGACAGCATGTGAACTACCCAACCTGTGAACAGCCCTGAACTATCCATCACGTCCTTATCACAACTTAAAAATTAGAGCCAAGAGGATAGAACCAAGCCAGCCTGAGCATGGCTTGTTTCTTCAATGACACCATGTCATCGACATAGTAAACAATTAATATTAAGTTCGAATAACTATTTTATTCTTCCTAAATTGTTTTCCAGCATTATGGTCCCCAAAGCTACAGTCCTTTCAGTGTGCTACAGCACTGAAAATTCCAGCATCCATTCCTTTCTTCTCAAGCATCTGAGACTTCTGATTTAAGAACTCTGAGACCCTTGCTCCAATGAGGTGAGGATGGAACATCAGCAGTGAAGGCACTGGTTCACAATGGCCAGGTGACTAGGTAACCCAACTAGATTCAAGTGCAGAACTTTGGAAAATGTTGGATCAATGATGTGAGTAGGCAGTACACAGCCCCTGGAGCTGAGGGCAACCTCTTCAGACGAGGGAAATGTTGCCTCACTTTTAAACCAATTTGAGTCAAGTTCCAGGTTGTAGCCCAAAACTCTCATCTGACAGACTTTGATCAGGGTGTTTCTTCTTCATTTCAATGTCTTTATTTGTCCATCCCTTACTCTTGTTAATAACACCTATGGAGCACCTACTAATAACACCTATACCATCTCTTCAGTATTGAAAACACATCCACATTGGAAATCTACAAAGGAACTTATCCTCACTGTTTCACATATGAGAAACTGCACAGTGAGTACTGAGTAGTGTTTCCTACCAAGTGGCTTCTGGAGCCACAAGTTCAAAAGCAAGGTCACTTAGCATCTAAGTACTTCACCAACACAAAGCTGTTGCATGCAGACCTTGTCTTTGAAGGTCTTTCCTCAGACACCAACTCCTCTGTGAAGCCTTGATATCATCCATATATTCCATAGACACAGAAAAAAAAAATCCCATTAAAATAAAAGATTATACTGGAGGCCACAAAGATAGCTCAGCAGGGGTGAAGGCACTTGCCACCAAGCCTACTGACCTGAGCTCAATCTCTGGGACCCACGCAGTGCAAGGAGAGAGAGCCACTTCCCACTACTGTCCTCTGACCTCCGGAGTATATATCAATGAACTACTTCAGCACATCAAAGGCCCTCATGTTTGGTAAAAGCAGGACATACTTCTTAAGCCATACTAAAAGTGAACTACACTTTAAATAAACTGGACTACTAGTTTAATTTTAGAACCAAAGTTGCCCAATATAAGTGACTTAACATCCTAATTTCATCTCATCATAAAATGACAAACATGAACCAGACCACCTCCAATCTGCCAGGCAGCCGTGCCAATTCTGTTTCCCTAACTACAAGCTGACTGCCCCCTTGGGGCATCTCCTATCCCACTACTCTAAGACTCAGAACCCTGACACTTTTATTTCTATCCCTCCATTAAAATATAAATGCCAAGCAAATAAAGCCTTGCCTGCACTTAACACCACACCCTAAAGCTTCACTCAAAACCCAATAGGTACCACCCAAAACAATGCAATACTGAGGGAAAACCATTTAAAACAAACAAAAAGAGCCAATAGTAGGTACATCACTGGCCACATCCTACATTTCCAGTCTTTAAGAAATCCCTTTTCCCATTTGTTTTGCATTCTGCTATTAATCTTAAAATAAGATTTTAGGAGGTCCTGGGAGTGGCTGGCCCAGCAGGTGAAAGCACTTGGTGTTCCAAGCCAGCTGAGTTCCACTTCTCAGACCCACAAAGATGGATGGGGAAGCCAACGCCACAAAGTTGGCCTCTGACCTTTACACGTGAGTAGTGGCAATGCAAGCCTACACATACACACCATGCACACATACACACCATGCACACACATACACACCACGCACACACACCCAGACACATACACACACAAATTTTTTAAAGATCTTAGTAACATTAACTACCAGTCAATTGAAGTCAAGACAACTAGATATAAGAGCATCTATTCAGCAATTCCAAAGTTAGATGAATTCTTTCCAAATGAAAATTCACAGCAACAAAAATTCTCATCAATAAGTCTTAATGAAACTGACAGGCCCAGATACAAACCATTTGAGTAATTCTCTCCCCGTTTCTGTGCAGGACACGGATTCAGAAATCCCAGATCCTCATCATCTCATTTTGAATGGCACAACTCCTAGCTGGTACCCATTCCACCAAAACTTTTCCCCCAATTCAAGCCCCTAGGAGCCCTGCAGCCACAGCCCTCAATTAATCCTCCAATGAGAACTTTTCTCCTGGGATTCACACGGCAGCTTTCTCCCAGTACCAAGGTCCTGCGGACCACAGGAAGAGCCCGGGGCTCTTTTCTCTCCCACCGCCCACGGGCGCCAGGCAGGTGCGGGGCTCGGAACCGCGGAAAAGCTGGGCACACAAAGGCCCCTCACGGCCGTCCCCGGGCTCCGCCCGGCCGGCGCTCCACACCGCCAGCGCCCTCGGAGGCTGGGTGTCGCCCACTGAGCGGCGGGAAGCGAGGATGCTCGGCCCAGCCGGCCGCTCGCTGACCCCGACCCCGCCCACGCTCCACCCACGCTGGCCGGCCCAGACTGGACCCTCGCCCCGCAAAAGCTTAAGCCCATCCCGGGCCCCCAGGCTCCCGGCCCGGTGCATCCCAACGGCCTCGTCCCCCCGAGCGCGGCCACGGCCCCGAGTCCCCGTCATCCCAGTCCCTCAGTACCCCGACCCAGGCCCAGAGTCCCCATCACCCTGGTACCCCGACCCCGGCCCCGAGTTCCCATCACCCCGATCCCCCAGTACTCCGACTCTGGCCTAAGTCCCCATCACCCCGGTACCCTGACCCCGGCCCCCGAGTCGCCATCACCCCGGTATCCCGACCCCAAGCCCCGAGTCCCCATCACCTCACCCCGACTCCCGGTACCCCGACCCCTGCCCCGAGTCCCCACCGCCCCGGCCACTTAGTACCCCGACCCAGGCCCGGAGTCCCCATCACCCAGGTACCCAGGTAACCCGACCCCAAGCCCCAAGTCCCCATCACCCCGACTCCCAGTACTCCGGCCCCGGCCCCGAGTCCCCATCGCCCTGACACCCGGCACCCCGACCCCACGTACCCCTCACCCCGGTACCCCGACCCGGGCCCCGCACTCACAGGCTGCCGGAGCAGGAGGTACACACGAAAGAGCCGACCGTCATGTTCACGTAGGTGGGGCCGCGCTGGTCGCAGTCGAAGCACTTGCGGTTGTGCGGGAGGCCCGTCATGTCCCGCAGCATCTTCAGGTGCTTCTCCTCCTGCTTCCGCTTGGCGCTGGCCGCCATGGCCGCGGCTCCGACCGAGAGGCCGGCAGGGCCGGGAGCCGGGCGGCGCTGCACCGGGGCCCCGCGCTCCCACGGGCCGCCCTGGCCGCCGCCGCCCTCCGACCGCACGGGCTCCGGCCTCGGCCGCGCCGCTCGATTCCCCCCGGCTGGACGCGACGCGGACGCTACGGAGCGCACGCCGACCCGTCACACCAACCGGCCCAGCGGGACAACCGTCGTCGCCGCCACCTTCCCGACTTCTCCGGAGGGGAGAAGACGAGGACGGGGGACGGCAAGAGGAGGCCCGCCTCGGGCGGCCTGCGGCCAAGTGTGAGCCGGCGCCCTCTGCTGGCCAGGAGGAGTCGCTACGGCCACGCTGCGGCCCGAGCCGGAGCCAGCAGGGTAGTGTAGACCCCGGTGACCCTGGACTGCCTTCACGAGGGTGTGCTCAGCGCTTGGCACTGCTTCCTAACTGTGCCCTGAAAAGTGCTAGTGAGTCTAGCATAGTGTAGCCCTATCTCCCTCTCCATCTCCATTCACTCAACCACACTGGACTTGTTTCCAGGCACAGCTAAGGCCTCCCTGACTATTGCCCTTGCTGTCTCAGCCTCTCCACTATTGACCTTCTGGAAAAGTTTATTCTTTGTCCTGTGCTTTACAAGGTTTGGGGCAGCATTCCTGACCTCTCCCATTATAGATGCCAGGACCCCGGCCCTCCAAAGTACAGCCGCCAAAATCCTCAGACATTGCCAAATGCCCAGGGAGGTTGAGGGGATTAGAAACCACTGCGGCTGAGGTAAGGCCAGATCGCCCCTGGTAAACCATGGCCGCTGGTCATGTGGAGCTCAGCTTTCTCCCCAAGCCATGCTGTACCAGATCAACCTCCCTAATGTCGTAGCTCACCTCCCTGGGAGCGCTCTCTGACAAATTTCTATGTTGTGTTTCCTTCCTAGCTCCAGTTGTTTGAAGTACTGTGTCGTGTTTATAGTTTACTGAGTGCTCTGGAGTCTCCCTTCAGGCTCCAAACAGTCAGGCCTCTGTATTTTCACTCATACTCCTCCCAAAACCGAATGTTAGGAGCTCAGTATTTTGCGAACGATACATGGCATATCTCTTCTGATCTTGGAGGCTATGCTTTGAGGTGAGCCGGGTTGGTGTTTCCATTTCACCAACTGGGAATGTGAAGCGCTGGGATAAATTTACCCAAGTATTCATCTGCACCAGAAGCTGGGGTTCCAACCCAGTCTAACTGCAACACTCAAATCTCTTTGTTGTCAGGAAATCAAGTGCCAGCCAGTAAGGTACAAGAAGCCATCCATGCCCTCATTCCTCAAAGGAGTACATCGAGACTCCAGGAATCCCTCAGCTCTGGAAGGGGAAAACGATTCACAAGAGAAGAATTCGAATCTCTTAGTTGGGAAGCCTGCCTCCAGATCTCCCATGAACCACTGCGAGAATCAGCCCAAGGAACCAGCATATTAACACAGTCCTATTAATAGTAGTTATTAATTTTTATATTGAGAAGGACAGATAGATTGGCCAATGGATTTTTTTTAACTTTTTCCTTTATAAAAAATATTAAACTGCCACAAGCCCCTGGTCTACCTTCATCAAGCACCAGCTCAGGCCTTCAATACCCCAACCCATCCCTTTATCCTCTGTCCTATTATTTTGAGGCAATCTATAGCTATCATATCATCTTAAGATAATATCTGAGGCGGGCCTGGTGTTGCACACCTGTACTCCCAGCACTTGGGAGGCAGAGGCAGGTGGATCAGAGACAGCCTAG